ATAGGAATATAGTTGGCAGGAGCAAGGCCAGGTGGCAGGGCCAGGAGGCAGGGCCAGGAGGCAGGGCAAGCCAGTGTTTCTTCCCAGTGTACCTGTTCTATCTGTGTGTGTGTGTATGAGTTTGTAGAGATGTGTAAGACCTGCCTTCCACACACCCCACTTTCAAGTCCAGAAGCAGAACAGTGTTCCCTGAATGGATGGGGTCTGGTGTCAGAGAGACCCAGAGTGAATTGCCTGGTGTGACAAACTCTCCCNTTTCCACACACCCTGCTTTCAAGTCCAGAAGCAGAACAGTGTTCCCTGAATGGATGGGGTCTGGTGTCAGAGAGACCCAGAGTGAATTGCCTGGTGTGACAAACTCTCCCAAACTCCCCTTTAACATGCTTATTTATTAGTCCCATGCCTGTATGTCCTGTACATTAAGTACTGTGTCTCATTAACTTTTATTGAAACAAATTACCAAAAAGCACAAAAAAATTGTGTGTCCAGCTGCACAAATCTGCACTAAGTGAACCAGTAAGAAGCAGAGCAGGGCCAGCCTCCAGAGACCCCCAGTCCCTCCCACTCATCACCCACTAAGTGGCCACTTTCACCAGACAAGAGTTTTGCCTCTTTTTGAACTAAAAACATAAACAGACCGCCCGTTCTCTTGTGAGCTGTTTTTTGGGGGGGATTTTGCTCAATAGTATGCTTGTGAGATTTACCCAAGTTGTGTGAATGTATCCATTCTGTGTATGATTTGTAAATTCTCAAAGCCCCATGTGGATTATAAGATATATATAGAAATATATGCGTATGTACATACACATGTGTGTCTTTATATATACAGGCACACATATATACCCTGTTATATATGTATAAAATGTATATATGTATCAGGATAAATGCTTAACATACAAACTTCACATCCGTTTCTCCTTTTTGCTGCTGATGGGCTTGCAGTCATTTCGGTTGGCAGCTATTTGCAAACAGAAACTCAGAGCGACCCGCTGAGGCTGCTTCTGCTGTGTTTCCGTGAAGACTCGGAGGCTCAGAGAGGCCCCTGGACGTGCCCCAGGGCGCACAGCTCGGGGCACCCCTGACGCCGCCCTCTCCCCGCAGGAGGAGCGCCCCTGGCGCGTCCGGGAGCCCA